TTGCTTCCTCGTAGGCTTGAGCGTGCTTGTTAAGTAAACATCCTCCCATGGTTTTGGAACTGAGTTCGTTTCTGCTTCCTGGTCATCCCTTTTGGGGGGTTTTGATACTCGGCACCACACGGAGTCAGGTTGATGGAAGGGAGACCTAGAATCGGACTGTTTCAGTCTTTCTGAAGTTGTGACGAAGAGGAAGGGAGCTCTGGGAAGAAAAAGATTTTTAGGTGAAAAGTAAAAAGAGAACAAACCTTTCCCAAACATAGTCATCGTTATATTTTGAAAGTCAGAGTGGGCCTGTGTCTGAATCTTGAGATGGGGACTTTTCTGGGTAAAGCTTACTCAAGCTCCGTTGTTTCAGGTAATAGACCACAGTTGGCCACTATCTTGTAAATCCTGGGGCTGTTTCTGTTCTTCCTCTGACCCTGCCCTGTTTGATCTCCAGCTCTCATGACTTATTTGCCTCTTCCCTCTCACTTCCACCCACCCGTGACATCTCCATCGCCATGGCATTGAGCAGCCACGTCATTTACCAAGTTCACGGGGTGATGGGCCAACTCGGTGCTGAGCCCTACTTCCCTCTGGTTCCCCCTCCTGAAGCAGGAGGCTCCCTGGCAGAGCTCAGAGCCCTTTGTTTATTTGATCCTGGGCTCTTGGATAAATCAGGAATGTCCTGACATGAACTTAGGCATGTTTTTCTTCCATGGAGAAGGAAACTACGGCAAATGGGATTTAAGTAGGCAGAGGACCATTCCAGGGGACTTGTTTTAGTGCCATCAAGGCCACATTCCTTTGGTCATCAGACCAGTAGGTGACTTCTTTATTGGCATGCTCTACCCTGGAACCCAGAAGGTGTGAATTTGAAGCATTTCCCCCCCTGCTGGGAACCTGGCACAGTCTCTCCGAGCTTCTTTCAAGACTCTGGTGCCATGATTGTCTTCCAAGTAGTCCTTGTTTTGGCTGGGTGGAACCTTGTTCCACTTCCACTGTCATTGCTTGAAGAAGTAGTTGCTTGAGAAGCAGGGTCTGGCATAAGGTCTCTCTTTCTTGAGCCATCTTCTTGTAAATGGTAAGGCTCTTGATCTAATACACTCAATAAGAAAATGCCCCAGTATCTGAATGTCTCTTATTTCTCGTCAGGTCTCGAGACTCACCAGTGCTGTTTATTGTTGGCACGAAGCTTTTATGGATCTACTTTCTGTTGATGTCTCGGTGTATGAGAACTCTCAGCTCCTTCAGTACTTCTAGAGATATATATGTATATATATGCATGTACTATCTGGTGGAGTGGTATCTGAGCTTATCTTGGAGACTCTTTTTTGGGAAAACATCAGGACCTAGCGGCTTGTTACAGTGGAGAATGGAGACTTGGTATCCAAAAAGAACCCCAGTAAGTCTCCAGAGGATTGTTGCCCCCCCACCTCTTCTTGCTCCCCACAAACTGTTTCCCAATAAGTCTCTGCAGTACTGTCTTTGGGGGACTGGGGGGCGCTAGTGAGGCTCACCATACTTGGCTGCCCACCCAGGAGATGAGAACCCAGGCGTTGGCACCTTCAGGTCCAGGCTTGGCTGTCTCTCTGTTTTGCTGCCTTTCATGTTGTCAAAAGGATCTTCTCGGGAACAAATGACTCAGCAACCTGAATCTGTAGGACTGTGTGGCCTCCGTGCCTTTTGAGAAGCAATTGAAGTATCTTCCTAGGCCTTGAAAGTCTGGGGCCCAAGAAGACTGGAGATGAAGACAGGTTTTGTGCTGGCTTCCTCAGCGGCTGTTCGCTTTGGGTTTTCACATTCCTGGCCCTGATAGAAGGATCTCACTTATGGGGTAAGCAGGCAATGTTTTAATTATACTTTTTGTCCTTAGGACATTCCAGGGAGAAAAGGGCTCTGGTTTGTGGCCAAAAACACAAACAAACAGGAAAATAAAACAAAATCAGCTCGGGTTGTTATTCTGGACTTGCCTGTGGCAGAAAGAGTTAATGGGATGGTGGTCTCTGGGTGAAGACCATTTGTTTCCTTGTAGCTGAGAGAAGCTCACATAGTTCAAGAAAAGATGATGCAACATTGAGCATGGGACAGCCGTGTCTGGGCTCTGGGGGCTGTCACTCGAAGAGTTAAGCTAGCCTTGTGGTTGGGAAGCCCTGAGGGAAAGCACAAGGCTGCAGGGACCTGGACCTCTGTTCCCTAAAGCAGCGAGGTGTGGGGTGAGAACAGGCCGGCTGGACAGTGTGGCCAGGGCAGCAGAGTGTAGGCCCAACTTTTTTTTTTTTTTTTGCCTTGTTTGACCAGCCTTGGCACTGCCCTCCGGCTCTCCAGGGGAAAAGCTGCAGTTCTGCTCTTGCAACACAAGGAGCAGACTGGAGAATTTAGATCTGCGTCACAGAGCTCAGAGAGAGAGAGAGAGAGCGAGAGAGCTCTGTCGATAGGTCTGCTAGCAACAGCCGTGCTGCAGCACAGAGAGAGAGAGAGAGAGAAATATCAAGAAATAAGTCATAGCAACACCGGGTACCAGGTCTGCCAGCTCACTTGCCAGGCTTCCAGGGATTTGTCGGGGCTGGAGGCCTCTGGGTAGTCTAGGCTAAGGAGATGACATGCAAGGTGGCACGGGCGGTTCCCGTGGGGAGGACATGGGGGGGGGTGGGGGGGCTGGGGTAGGAGCAAGAGGTTATAGGGCAACGGTGGAAGGCTTAACGGGACCACGTTCTGGAACCTTTGGGACTGCGGCACCTTACTGCCGGACAGAGATTTGGGTCTGCGCAGGTGACAGTGGGTGGTCTGACGGGCTCCTGGACTTGATGGCGTAACCCCCTTCTTCTTCCACGTATGTATTTGCTGGGCCCAGGGGCGATGTCTCTGTGTATGTGGGTGCTCTGTCTTTCTCACCTCCTTTCTCGCCTTTTGCTATTTTTTTTCTCTGAGGTAGGATTTTTTTTTCCTGCCCCCCACCCCCCTCCACTTTAATTTCTTCTTAGTGTCAGCTGCTCACACCTGACCTGGGTAGAGAAGAGTGAACTGTCTCCAGATTCCCACTTGACTTCCCAGCTTTCACCCTGTTTGCCTGTAGTGGACAGACGGATGGACAGACTGGCTTGCCAGGTGGTTTGGATGTCAGGGTCTGTCTGTCCACGCAGTTGTTAGGTAGGGAGTGAGGAGGAGAAGTGCCGAGAGGAAGGCCAGAGGAGTACATTTCCAGGGGTTTTCCTCATTCAACTTTTAGGCTGTGCAGGAAGGGTCTGGTGGGGAGCAGAGTGGTGGATCAGGTGGGGTGTGGGCTGGGGAGAGCAGGGTAAAGCTGGTAGGCTTGTCACTGCGTAGTTGGGAAAAGTGGTGACTGGTGACGCAGTCACTGTTGCATCTTGTTAGGAGCTCTAGAAGGCCAGGTAGTGAGGCTCTCTGGGTCTGCGGGGCCAGCTGAGAGGGGTGAAGGATGAGCTGAGAAGGGAAGCTAGCATTTAGAGATTAAATGTCATCCTTTTGGCGTTGGAAACTTGTTTACCTTGCGCTCTCTGTGTCTCCATGTTGGCACCCTTCCAGTTCACATGTGATGGCCTTCCCTGTACTGCTGCATCATTAACTAAGTGACTGAGCTGGCCTTCCATTGGCCAGGGGAGGGCTCTCACTCCAGACCCTTCTTCTGATTGGTAGGTGGCCTGATGGCAGGTGAAAACCTTTTTTTGATTGGCCAAGGGCCAGGGTATCAAATCTGAATTTGCATTTCACTTGCTTAAAGGGGAGGGGGGGAGAAGCCCAGCAGCTTTCTAAAATCTCTTTAGGGGTGTGCGTATGCCTGTGTATCTATGTCGGCTTCTCACTGACCATTGAAGCCTCCTCTTGGGCATTTTTCATTTCGTGCACTATAAGGAAGAAGAGAGCTGAGGGCTCCACAAACTTTTTTCTGTAGGGTTATAGAGGGTTTGGGGAAATGGATATGCAGAGGGTAGACTACATTGGAAGAAAATTTTTTTTTTTTTGTCCTTTAGTTGAAGTGTCAGAAAAGGGAATTTTCCGATCAGCCACACCTCAGTGTTGCGGCAAAATAATTCTTGGCTCCCTGGAAACCTATGGGTAAGGTAGGGCTGAGCTGCTGCTGCTGATATTGCTGCCACTCTGGGCTTCCTGCTGACTTTGGGCTACTCCCCGGGGAGGAGAGATTTGCATTGACGTCCGGGGCTGTCCAGAGGCCCTCAGGAGCCAGTTGCCAGCTGAGCCTCATATGGGAAGGACCTGTCTTCTGGATGTTGCTTCTACCTGGTGCTTGGAAAGGTGAGGGTCGGCACCATCCCGAGGGAATGGCTCAAGAACTACTTATTGGGTGGGATTTCCCAAAAGGTTCTTGGGTGACGTCGTTTGGAGGTCCTGGCTTGAAGGGCTTGTCAGTCGGGGAAAGAGGAGAGAGAGAGAGAGAGAGAAACTAGGACAGCAGGCTGTTCGCTTCTGGTTGGAGGAGGGAGGCCTGGAAAACTGGGGGCCCCCACTCCCCAGCCTGCCCTGGTTGTGGGTCTGTTGTTTGTGGGAGTGGGCTCCGGGGCCCGGCCTTGCGCAGCGCCCCGCCATGACTGCGCATCTAGAGGCGCAATGCGCCCTGGGCCCCTGGCCTCGGACGAGCACCGCCCTTCTTGTTACATAACGGAGGGCACGCGGGCGCCTTCTCGGCCTCCCCTGCAACCCAACCTCCGAGCTGCCCTGGACTCTCCAGGCTGGGGCCGGCCTCCCTGGGGTGCCGGGCAGGGTTCTACTCCCCTGGAGGGCACACTCTTGTCCACCAAGTGACAAGAGCCGGATTAGAGAGTAGAACCGAGTTACGGTCCCCCGTCTCGGGGCATGGGACGCAGAATGCCCATCTGGATGTCCGGTGTCACCTATGGCCTCTCTGGGGGAGGGGACAGTGCCCTTCTTTTCCTCTTCCCCTTCCTCAGTTTTGGAAAGGAGACTTCTGAAAGCATCGTGATGGCTTGAGGGAGGAGAGGTGCGGGGCCCCGGGGCTGTTGGCTGTCCACTCCCTACCTCACTGCCCTCCCCCTTTCTCTGGGCTGCTCGTATCTGGGGACTCCTTTCACCGGCTGCCATCTTGGAGGCATTGCCACTGGCTCCGGCTCGGTGGCGTTGGTCTTGCCGGTCCTGCTGTGCCAGTTCCGCAGAGTGGGCGGGGGGCGGGGGCTGTGACGCAGGGGGGCGCAGGCGCAGTGGTGGCTGCCGCAGTGGAGGCGGCCCCCGGGGCAGAGCCACGCAGGACCACCCTTGCACAGGGTGGACAAGGCCCTACGTGGGGGCTCAGGTCAAAGCTTCTCAGGTAGACTCCTGCTGCTTGGGGCCCCCGGGCATGGACATGGCTCACCGAAGGTCTGGGTGCCCCATCCCCTGGTCAACCCCAGTGTCCAGCAGCAGTTCAGGGGAGAGCCGAGTTTGGGTGGGGGGGAAGGGGAGAGAGAGAGATGTGGCATTTCCCTGTGATGTGTCTGTCAGACCTGTGCTGTGTGGTCTCCAGACAGGGTCTGTCCTCGGTACTGGTCTCCCTGTGGGCACAGGGAATGGGGAGCAGGGCAGCTGGGAGGGTTTGCTCGGGTGCCCCTTCCCGGTTGCTTCGTCGTTCCCACTGCTAGTGCCAGGTTCCAGCTGTAGTCCTCCAGTGAGGCTCCCTGCTGCCAGTCCCTCTTCAGTCCTTTCTGCGTGCTGCGGCCATCTTGTCTGTCTTGTTCAGAGATCTAAAATGGTTTCTCATCGTTTTCCAGGATAAACTTCCTTCTCTTCGGCATGATGTTCAAGGCCATCCCGTGACTGGCCCTAGCTTGCCTGTCCAGTCTTAACTCTCTCCCTTTCTCTAAATGGACCCAGGTATTCCGACCAAGCCAGGTGACTGACTTTCTCTCTCCCTCCCTCCCTTCCCTCTTCACTTGTGCTGTTTTTCATACCGCCTCTGCTCCACATGTCCACCTGTGGCAAGCCTGCCTCCCTTCCTCCTCAGCAAGAAGAAATTCTCATCATGTTGACCCTTCAGCCATAATTCCATATGCGTCATTTCTTTGATAGGGTACTTTTGCTGTATTATAATCTTTGTGTGTAAGTTTTATGCTACCTATTACTTTATACATCCTAAGAGGCTAGAGAAAAGAGGATGAAAACAGATTCCATGTGGTGCCTTCTTTCTGTCTTGGCTCTTCCATCATGGCTGCTTCATTTGTTCCTCATAGAGACCCCATGAGGAATTGTCCCTCCCGTGGCTGAGAAGTGTCTGATTGTGATTAGAATCCTCATCTAAGTCCTTCTGTTTTCTCTGCCTGAGTCTTCCATGCCAGAAAATGACACTGATGAAGACCTTCACAGTGTGTCTGTCTAAGGAATTCTGTCAAATCTTAATGCAGAGTAGGAGTTTGGGTGGCTGACCTTCTCTTGTCCGAGGTCTCGATGACCTGCCTGTCCCAGGCCGTTCTGAACACGGCTGCCCTGTTAACTCTGTCCTCTTCCTCTGCGTCCAGGCTCACTCGAGATGGTGGCTTTTTGTGGCTGACACTGATGGATTGGAAACCCTTCCTCTCTGAAGAGGAGATGGAGTGGATTATAGCGTCTTCAGGGCAGAATAAACCCCAGAGCACAGGAATCAGTGGAGGTTGCACAGTGATGAGTAGTAAGCGTGGACATTGGTGTTGGGTAGGCCTATATTTGCCTCTTCACCCTGGCTCTTCTTAGCTGGGTGGTTTAGGACAAGTCTCTTAAGTGCCTTCCATCAGGGACATGGCTCCATGACAGTGTACGGCGCCGAAATGCCTCATATATTGCCTGTTTGTAGATAGGCCCATGGCAGATAGTGGTGCAGTTCTCCTCCCCCTGTCTGATTGTTATTTGGGAACATATACTGAAAGAACATAGCAAGGATCCTTGGTGGCACAACAGTTAAGCATCTGGCTACTAATCAAAAAGTAGGTGATTCAGACTCACCCAGTCCTTCCTTGGAGAGAAACACCTGGTGAGCAGCTCCTGTAGAGATTAGAACCCATTGTCCAGTGAGTCTATTCCAACTCACACTGACCCCATAGGCCTGAGTAGAACTACCCCAAAGCTTCTCCAGACTGTAAATCCTCAAGAGAGCAGACTGCCTCTTCTTGCTCTCCTGGAGCAGCTGGTGGGTTTGAACTGTTGACCTTTTGGTGAGGAGTTCTAACCACTGTGCCACCAGTGCACCTCTGCCTTACAGATTACAGTCTAGGAAATGATGCAGGGCAGTACTGCTCTGTTACATTGGGTGTCCCTACAAGTCAAAATTAGACTTGATGGGGGAGAGGGAAGCTTGTGTGCCCTCACTGGGGTCGTGAGCGTGAGCCAGAAGCAGGGAACTTGGGTAGCAAACACCTGGGGCCCGTGAGGCAGTGCCTTCCCCTACGGGGATCAAAAGCCCTGTGGTCGTGTTCGTCTGTGTCCGAAAAATGCTGGCTGAGGGGAGCAGTGAGGCCAGTGGTGGTGGCAGAGTGAGAGTTAACCAGTAAGCCCTACTGGGGGCCTCTCCACGTTCGTGTTCCTTCTTTCCGGTTCTAAGCAGTGGCTGCCTGATTTCTGACGATACTGAGTCTCGTGGGAGGGGAGCCGGGTGCCCTGAAGCCCCTTGTCATCAGTTTCGGGGGCTGGAGAGTGGAGAGTGACGACAGCCAGTGAGGCGTCAGTCAATGGCAGTGGGGACCCTGGTGACGGCTGCTTTGTTGGTTTTTTTTTTTTTTCCTCTTTGGAAGATGACTCAGTGTATCGTGAGCCTCGAGATGGAGCTCTCAGCCGAGTGGCCAGGATGTTCTGTCAACATGCAAGCAGCACAAACAGATTGTTGGGGTTCAGAGCTGATCCTTAGGCCTGGGGTCATTTTAAGGGAGGGCCGGCAGAAGAGAAGCGACTACTGGACACAGGCCTGGGGGACAGTGACCCCAGTCGCTTCATGAGGACTCTGTGGAACCTGGAATGTTTGCGTCTCAGACAGACAGACAGTCGTTTGTGCTTCTTTAGTACGCTTAGCCTCAGGGGGCATGTCTAGAACTCCTCCTTCTGGTCCCAAATGACAAACACCTTTCTACGCTCAGGAAATTTCTGGGGGCTTTTCACCAGGCTCTGTCTGTGACAGTCTTAGTGGCCATTATTGTAGGTGGGGGCGATTCCCTCCTTGGGTGGAGGTGGACCGGGCAGGCCTTAGGGAATGGACACTGGTGATCCCACTCCCCAGGAGTGTGTGTGGGCAGGTTTGGGGGTTCCTGCTGGGTTTACGAATGATGACATAACATCTCTTCTTAGTCACTGACAGTGAGCCCTCGGGGCATCGGCGTCAGCCTTTTGTCTCCTTTCTTATCCCAAATAGGAGCTTATCTCCCCTTCATCTTCCTTGTTTCCTTATTGGGGCAATATAGTGGGCCTTGAGGTCTCTACGCCCTTTTGTAGGAGGAAGACCTCATAATGGCGACTCAGGGTTCTAGACTTTTCTTGAATCTGCCGCATTGCGCCACAGGCGCGTGATCCCCCGCCCGCCCCGCCCGGCCGCACCCCGCCGCCGCCGCACCTCTTTGGGACCAAGAGGGAAGATGGCTTCACGGCCTCTGAATTGGGGCCAGGCCATTATCCCCAGCATCCGGCTCCCTTTTCTCCCTACCTTCCTCAACCATTTCTGGGGGGCAGGGCCTCTAGCTTCCTCTGCGTATACACTGAGGGGACACCCGGACTGGGAGCACCTCTCTGCCTTCCTCGGGCCATTTTTCAACCACGTGCATGCGTGTAGGTAATGTTCACTCTGACCTTTGTTGGTTGGGAACCTCTCCTCTCCCTCGGGCCTCCATGGTGACTCATTTGGGATCTCCGATAGGTGTGGCTCCTGGGCCTTGGGAACCAGGAGGAACAGGCAGATCTGGCCGAGGTCACAGCAGAGGGTAAAGCAGGGTAAGGGATGTGGGCCGTGGTCCTCCTTGCCATGTCTTCCTGAGCCTGTGAGCAGATCAGCTTGACCTAAAAAATTTCTCTGTCACTGGATGTTGGATTGTTTTGTGCCTCATACGTCTTTGTTCAGAGATGTGCATGAAATGGGAGCCTTGTCTTGGGTTTGTGCTCTGAAAGATGGGATGTACCGGTCTTCCTTGTTAGACCTTGTGCTTATTCATTCAGGCCCTGTTCTCTAGAAAGATGAGCCCCCATGAATTTGCCATTATTGTCTTCTGTCATTGAGTGATGAGTAGCGACGGAGGCCAAGGTCACATTAACCTCAGATGCGTCTTTGATTGGAGTCTACACAGCTGATTGCTTGACCCCACGAGCTGAGCCCCTCTTCCTTTCTCTTCCCCATAGAGCCCCTGAGGGATTGTACTTTGCTCCTCTTTGAGACAGGCTGAGCTGAGGATGGCGTGGTATGCAGGAGACCTCCGTCATCTGGTCGGGTAGAATAGCCAGTCCACATTTACTGGGAACAGAAAGAGGAGACGCCTGGCAGCCCTGGTTCTCTGCGGTAAGTAGCCATCTGCATTCTTTTAGATTCTTTTATTTCTTTAAACACCAGAAGTGGATAGATGTTTATTGAACCCAGCCAGCTGCTGTACCTTTGCCATTCGTGGCCTGCCCACCCCCGCCCTCAGTCCTCCTGAAGAGAGGACTAGATTGATTTTTCTAGTGCAACTGGAGAGCTGCAGAGAGGTTAGAAGTCAGTGTTCAATCCCCACTCAATGTCCTCACATTCAGAAGTCAATTTTCTCTTAAAATGGAGCCCTCGGCCCCTGTCTCTCAGTGCCGAGGTCTAATGTGCTGCATAGAAGGACCCAGTTTGCCCTCACTGCCCCCAGCCAGGGGGTGAAGCTCTCAGTTGGCTGGCTGCGGGAGGACAGTCCTTGCCAGCACCTAGCGTGGTTCTCTGCCAAGTTCTAGCTCCAGATCTCTAGGCTGGAAGGAACCTAGACTATATATAGCCTTGTGCTAAGCAATTCTTATCGGACAAGTCTGCCCTCCCCTGCAGGAGAGAAGCACTTCTGTCAGAAAACGGGGCCCCAGAGGGTGTGCGCCATCTTCATGGACCCTTTATTCTGGGAAGGTGGGGAGCAGGGGTCAGGGCTGCCAAGCCTGCCTGCCTTCTCCCTGTGCCAGATGCTGATGGTGCTCAGAGGTCGGGCTGGATGAGGGCGCTGAGGTGGGATGAGGGTCCTGAAGGACTGAGGGTTCGCTGATGGGGCTTGGAGGGCAGGCTCGGGCCACATGACGTGGCTGAGGGCATGGTTGTGCCTTCACCTCTGAGCTCAGCCTCCAGCTTCTCATCTTGGTTTCCTGTTTGCTTTGCTTTGCCCAAGGATGTCTATTGACCTTTCTCCTCCTCCTCCTGACCCATTGCATTCCCTGCCTTCCTCCCCCTCATCCTCCTCCTTTTGGGGATTTGGTTTGGCATATATGAGGGTTCACGCCACGATGGGCATCCGGGAGCTGTGCCTGTGCTCCACCCTCTGCCCCATTTGGCTTTGGTCAGCCAGAGCGGGGTTTGCTGTCTGAGCAGGAAGCTGGGTAGTGAATGAGGGTGTATGCCGGGTAGTATTTATAGGACAAGGTGGGTCGGATAGCTTCCTTTTGCCTCTCACAGGTGATGTTGAGCCACATGGATGTGACATTATCCCAGCCTTGCCCGTGAATCCTTGCCGCACTGGAAGCCAGATGAAGCCAAACAAACAACTTAACTCTTTCCCTGTCTCCCAGGTAATTCTCCATGTGTTCTGCTCCCGCTGGCCTTTCTCCATCCGATGCCCCTTCTCATGAAAACTGTTGTTCTTCTTGTTGAGGGACTCCTCAGATGGTTCCATTCAGAATCGCGCATACAATTGCCCTCTTCTTTCTCATCTCCTACTCCTGGCTTTTCTGTGAATGGGGTTAGTAACCGGCAGAGAGCTGGGGGCAGGGCGGCCAGCTGAGATGACCAGTCCGCCAGGACAGTGTGGGGAGCTAGCTGGGTGTGGCTGTTGGCAGAGGAGCCGAGTCTCCCACAGTAACTGAGTGGAAACACTGCAGGGCCCGGAATATCCAGATGCTTAGCCTTTAACCCCCCAGGGCCCTGGGCCTTGGCCTGGAACTGGGGCATCTTCTTCCTGGTATGGTCTCTGGTGCATGTCACTCAAGATACCAGTAGCCTTGTAGTCTAGATGGTTTAGATGATGAGTTGGACAGTGGACGTTGGGGCCCTTTCTGAGGCTTCAAGGGTTGCTTTTGAATGAATCCCTCTCTTTTCTCTAGTTCCTCATTGCTTTCCCCTTAAAAAAAAAATCCTGGCCAAGTAAGCCATTGCACAGCATTTCTAGGCAGTTGACAGAGCAATGCCTCTTTCCCTGCTTCACTTGATGCTGGCCACAGGAGTAGCATCAGTGGTTAAAAATGACGATGACCCGCAGAGGGCTGTTGCATTAGAGAAGCGATTCAGAAAGCAGACCCTAGGCGCTTGCCACGTCCCCAGGCAGTCTCTCTCCCATCAGTCGATTACTGGGACGCTCTTGGACAACAAGGGCAGTTGGAATTAGCCGAGAGTAGATTTATCTGAGTCCTGAAGCTGAAAGGAAGGATGCAGAGTAATCTTAGGATGCTTTTGGCTAATATCAGGAGGCACCTTAGTGACACCCCACCCCGCATGGTCGCCGCTGTCTAGTGGGTGTGGGTGTTGCTTGCTTCTCTCCAGGAAGATGATATGGCCTCACGTTGTCATCTTCTCTTTCTATCTGAGTATCCGAATTGACTGAGCTGCTCTGAAATCCATGCTGAGTGAGGATACCAGGACTGTTTGGAAGAGTCCAGTGTCTCTTGCTTCTAGGAATTTGACAGGTCCCTCCTGCAGTAATGTAGTTAAGGATGGCTGGGGGTGGAGAATGTGGACCACGACTACAGAGGAGAGATGAGCCTTGGTGCAGCTGGGAGATGAGGAGCAATGAGCCAAATCCCTCAAGATGTGTCGGCTAGTGTCTGGCCAGGGATGGCTGTAGGGCTCCAGCCAGGCATAACTGCTGGCCACGATGCTTGGAGGCTTGGCCCTCATTTGTGTGGTGTGTTCCTGGTCCTGGCTCTGGTGAACGCCCTTCCACTGTCACAGCCCTGCCCCTGGTTAGGCAGGATACCAGGGTGGGCAGCAGATGGGAAGCTGGGCTTTATGGCTCCCAGTATTTCCAGAGCTGGCGTTTGCCTGATAATTTTTCTGGTTTTGCCTTCCATTGCTTTCTGCCCACTCGCCTGACTTCCAGTGACATAGAGGCTGCAAGTTAGGCTCTAAGCTGGCATCTTTAAGAAAGGACACCGGCTCATCTGGCTGCTTTTCTTGACATTTTAATCCCTGGGGTCTAGGAGCCAGGCAGCAGTGCTGGGCCTCCATCCGGGATCCAGCAGAGGTTAACAGAGGCAGCGGGGCGGGAACAGTGGTATTGTGGCTTGGCCAGGGAGATGCGGGGAGGGGCCCCTCCGGAGGACTCCATTGGTCAGCACCTTCTCTTGTCCATTGACTCCTGGGCTGGTTAGGGCTATGAATTGTTTAATGCATATCTTGGCTCTGTCCCCTGGCATAAGTGCCCCCGAGGTGGCAGCCGCAGCTTTCAAGAGGATCTGTAACCCGTGCCGGTCACTTTTGGATGTTTGGCCTCCCTCTGACAAA